CACCTGCTACCATGGATCATGGCCCGCGTCAGTATCAAGCTGGCTTCCTATTGGCTACTGTAGTTGTGCCGGAAACCTTCGGATTGGTTGACATTCCGGCCTATCGATCGCATTGCAGCCGTCAGCCGGCTAACAGATGAGCTTCTTTTCAGATGGCTAATTATGTCCTACCTGCCGGGTGTTCACTCTTCTTTCTACTCTTGACTGCGTGTGTCACAACAGCAGATGACATGGGCAAACTTTACACGTTTAAGCAAATGGAAATGGAACCGTACAAAAGCCTTTATCGTGGCTATCCTAGAGACACGATTGGCAGAATATTTTTCACCTTTTCGGTTGAGGAGTTTTCCTGCAGTCTCGAAGAAGGGCTTTCTTCAAGTACATCAGCTTGCAAACGAGCATTCATGTCGACACATGGCATTTCTACCGCATACCGTGACGATGAGCCGCCGAAATATCTTGCAAAGCCTGAGGATTCTTGGTACGACAAGGATCAGCTAAATCTGAAGAATCTTAAAGTTCCCTTGTACAACAGCCCGGACCTCAAAGGAATACCTTCTAGCGGCGGAGATGCCTTTCGGCGGCCTGGAGTGTTGAGCGGAGAACGCGTACGACGTATACAGGAAATCATGCATAGATGCGCTGAGCGAATCGGACGTAGAAGACACCCCGGTGACCTTGTGGAACTCGGCTGTGGATATGCAGACTTCCTGGACCTCATGTTTCGCGGACTCAAGACTAAAGGGCGCAATATACTAGCACCCCTTGAGGCCGAGGAAGCATTTTCTGGTAAGCCATGCCTTGACATTCATCTCCAAAGACCCTACTTACAAGAAGATTTATAGTCTGTATGCAAAAAGCTTAAATTGTTGTAAATAGTTGACTCATGCTTGCAACCAGGCGGCGAATGATGATGTTACTTCTTCATACGTCGTTTGTTGATAGTGATGCAAATACTAGTAACAGTACTAGTAGTAGTAGTAGTAGTATTTACAGTCGTAACACTGGTACCAGTATTAGGTATGGTCTTTGTAGTTATAGGCGTAGTAATCGTCAGGGTAATAGGAGTAGTAGTAGCAGTAGAAAGGGCAAGAGTTGTAGTAATATTAGTAGTCATAGTAGCAGTAGTAGTGGTGCTAGTAAAAGGAGTACTGGCCGCCGTAGTCATGTTAGAAGTTGTATAAATAGACGCAGGAGTAGTAATATTAGTAGTAGTAGTAGTAGTAGTAGTAGTTGTTGTTGTTGTTGTTATGGCAGACGTAGTGATAAACTTAATAGTCTTCGATGTAGATAAATGATTAGTAATCGCATTATTAGTCTTAGAAGCATACGTATTAATCTGAGTAGTATTCGTAATCGTAGTAATCAATATAATTAGTAATATACGTATTCGAAGTAGAAGTCGTCGTTTTAATAAAAATAGTAGTATTAGTCGTAGTAGTAACATTAGTAACATTGATAGTAGTCGTATTAGAAGTAGTAGTAGAAGTGGTAGTATGTAACGGTCAAGAATTGGCGATTTACTATAAACACAACACTAAGAATATTCCGTCTGATGGAAGAAGACAGTCAGGTGTTGGGAGCGATTTATTGGTACACAAGGCTAGTTGCCGTAAACCAGCTGTTTGCTTGCGGTTGGTAAATGCGTCCGTCTGGGAGCGTTTGAGCAGCTGTGTCTACACAATTTTGCTATTGCTTATGTCTCTGGTGATGAATCCGCGACGGATATTGAAATGTCAGTAAAATAAAAGTGTTTTCTCAATAATCCAACCGTTCGGGAGCGTGCTAGCATAGGTGTATTGTTTACGCGCTTGGGTCGGTCCGTGTGTGAGTGACTGTCTGGCTGTGGGGCGCATGATTTGTTGCGTCAAAGGCAGTGGTTTTGGGGCCTGATGTCAAGGTCACTTTAACGCCAAATAGGCTGCCAAACGTGGCACGCGCGATCATGACGCAGCTTAAATCGAGCCTGTGAGGGTCGGTATGCTTTGGCGGTTGTGACTGTCAGTTAACCGTCCTGCCGCGGCAATCGGGACGACAGAGAAGGGAGGCATTGAAGCAGTTGCTACAAGTTAAATGAGTAGAATTAATAGTAGTAATATGAGCAGTCGTAGTAGTTATATTAACATTAGTAGTAGGCGTAGTAGTTTAAGTCGTCG